CCTCACCATGACGCCGGCCACCGAGACCCCCGGCGGCCCGCGGACTACCACTCCGGCCCTGAGGCGGCTGCGCCGTTTCCCGGCAACCCGGGCGCGGTCCCGCACGAACGCTCGGAGAGTCTCGCGATATCTCGCCCACCTCCGCAGGGCACCTGCGGGAGCGCGTCCCTGGCAACGCGGGCTGGCACGAAGTCTCGGAGAGTCTCGCGATACCCGCCCGCCTCCGCAGGGCACCTGCGGGAGCGCGTCCCTGGCAACGCGGGCTGGCAGAAGTCGGAGGGGGCGCCGCGCTCGGTGCCTGTCACCCGCACCTGCGATCAGATCTGCCACGCAAGGCGCGCAGGACCCAAGTTGGAGCTGCGGATACCCACCGTGACGCATGCTGCCTATGAGGACCAAAGGCGCACACGCACAAGTGAGTTCTAGTGCTGCTCCAGGTTTGGAAGTCAGCAGGTCTTCCCTTCAATGAAGTGTTCTGCAGGCAAGCGGCAGTGACTTGAGCCTGGAATTCTAACTTTTCAGGAGGCTGAGATAGATGGATCCCGGCTCAAAGCCAGCCCAGTCAGAAAAGTTCAAGAGACTCTTATCTCCAATGACCTACAAAATGCCCGAAGTGGAGGGGAAAGGTGGGGACAGCTAGGGAAGGGGCAACATTGTCCAAAAAGAAACGTACTCTTTACCAGACTTACATAAGTGTAAACCTTCTGTACATCACCTTTATAATAACATTTTTTACAAAGCCAAAAGAAGAGATGTAAGTGGTAGAATTCCAGCTTTGAGCAAAAAAAAAAATCTCAAAAACACAAGAACATGAGTTCAAGCTCTAGTATTGCCACACACTCTAAAGAGGGGGAAGGAGAAGAAACTGTTGCTTGAAGAGATGTCCTCATGTATAAGGACTAACTGGAAATGGACATCAGAGACTCCCAGAGAAGACTGCAGAAAAACACTATGTTTCTTCTCTGATTGTTATGGAAACAACTAACCACTGAACAATTCTCAAAGCAACTCTCTAATTCCTGAAACCACCCCATTACCTACACTTAATGTTCTATATCAACTAGAAGGCTATCATAAGCAGGTGCTTGTCCTTAAAAAAATGATCTTATAGAGCAGGGTGCCAGTGGCTTACACCTGTAACCCTAGCTACTAAGGAGGCTGAGACAAGAGGACCACGGCTCAAAGCCAGCCCAGGCAGGAAAGTCTGTGAAAACTCTTATCTCCAATAAAGCATCAAAACAGCCAGAGGTGGAGCTATGGTTCAAATGGTAGAGCACTAGCCTTGAGCAAAAACATTCAGCTCAGGGAAAGTACCCAAAACTTACACAGTGCCATAGCTCAGTGGTAGAGCTCTTGCCTAGAATGCACAAGGGTCTGTGTTTGATCCCAAAACAATGAAAAAAAATGATCTTGCAGCCAGGTGCCAGAGGCTCACACCTGTCATCCTACCTACTCAGGAGGCTGAGATCTGAGGATTGAGGTTCAAAGCCAGCTGAGGCAGGAAAGTCTGTAAGACTTTTATCTCCAATAAACCACTAGAAAACCAGAAGTGTCACTGTGGCTCATGTGGTAGAGCTGAAGAGCACAAGGACAGTGCCCAAACCCAGAGTTCAAGCTCCATGACCGACAAAAAGAAAAAAGAAGAAAAAAAAGAACTCCTTTCAGTAAACAGGGCAAAAAAAGAGGGTTTCGTTCAAGAAAGCCTGTACAGGGTTTGCATTTGTCACAGACCAATAGCACAGCTTGATATAGCAGTACGGATTGCAGAGATGAATAGGGAACATTGGCTGCAGACACCCTGAGCTCCAAACAAAAACCAATGTGACCTCTGAGTTTCATCTTGAATTTGAGGTCTGATTTTTAGGGGGAAAAAAACCCTTTTCTCCACATGTATCAAGCTGTGCAGCTCAGAAATCCAGACAAACTTGTGGAATTGAAACCGCTTTATACAACTATTTAATTAAAAATAATAATGAGGGAAGGGATGACATTGTCCAAAAAGAAATGTACTCTTTACCTGTCTTATGTAACTGTAACTCCTCTCTACATCACAAGGAGGAGGGAGAGTTAGAGGAGGAAGAGGAGGAGGAGAAAGAGGAAAAGGAAGAAGAGGAGGAGGAGGAAGAGGAGGAGAAGGAAGAGGAGGAGGTGGCAGCAGCTAGATGTGGTAGCTGCTGTACTCTTAACTACTCAGGAGGCTGCTATCTAAGGATTGTATTTTGAAGCCAGCCCAGACAGTGAAGTATATGAGACACTCATCTCGAATTAACCACGAAAGGCTTAAGTGTTAGAGTTCCAGCCATGAGCCAAAAAGCACAGGGACAGTGACTAGGTCCTGAGTTCAAGCCCTAGGACTAATACCAAATAACAGTAATAACAACAATAGTAATAATAGTAATAATAGAAACCCAGAAAAATGGTATCAAACTCTCCTGTAAAATACTTGAGCAAGTGTTAATACATACAAACTGGGAATTTTGTCTAATGTTCCTTAAAACGAAAGCAAGTGGCCCAGACAGCTCACATCAGTTCACTGAAGGTCTGGATATTATTATAACCAGACTGGCCTTTTTTGGGACAGTACTGGTGTTTGATCTCAGGGTTTGTGCTCTACTGTTTGAAAGTCTCTATCCTGCTTTGCTGTGGTTCTTTTTATAGGGTCACACTTTTTGCTTAGGCCTTGCTAGACCTAGATCCTCCTTTGTTTCACATTGTAGCTGCAATGATAGACAGGAACCAGCACACCAGCTTTTTCTGTTGAGATTAGGTCATGTAAACCTTTTTTCCAAGGCTAACTTGAAGTCATGATAGTCATGATTACATCCCAACTAGCATCAGCCACCTACAATATAGTCCTGCACTTTGTTTTAGAGGTAAATATTGTAATACTGGAAAATCAAATGAGTCACTGTATATATAACTAAAGCTTCAGAAAGACATAGCTGCCAACCTAGAAAGACACCCAACTAATTGGGAAAAGATATTTACCAGCAATATATAAGACAAGGGCCTAATATCCATTATATACAGGGAACTCAAGAAACTAAACCCTCCCAAATCTCACCAATCATTAAATGGGAAAGGGAGCTAAAGAGAGACTTCTCAGAGGAAGAGATAAAACTGGCAAAGGGAATGTTCATCATCCCCAGCTTAAAGGAAATGCAAATTAAAACCTCCCTGAGAAACCCCCTAACCCGGGTCAGAATGGCCTATACCCTAAATTCAGCCAACGTCAAATGCTGGAGGGGATGCGCAGAGAGAGCAACCTCCGGCTCTGCTGGTGGGAATGGACACTAATACAGCCCCTCTGGAAAGCAGTCTGGATGGTCCTCAGAAAGCGAAGCACGGGGCTGGGAAGGCGGCTCATGCAGGAGGCCCTGGGTTCGATTCCTCAGCACCACATAAGCAAAAAGAAAAAAGCGGGAAGTGGCACTGTGGCTCAAGTGGTAGAGCGCTGGCCTTGAGCTGAGGGACAGCGCCCAGGCCCAGAGTTCAAGACCCACGACCCACAAAAACAGACGGAAGCCTCGGTAGAGGCGGCCGCAGGCGGGAGGTCAGATGGCTTCGCGGCCTTCCAGCCGTGGAAGTCGCACGAGGTCCGGCGGGCGCACGACGTCTGGCGGGAGCGGAAGATTCCGGAAGGAATGTTAGCGCGTCTATTTTTTTAACCCTGCAGTCGTTCCGGAACCCCTCCGCGTCTCCGTGGGCTGCGGAATCATCACTCCAGAGGCTGGGACTCCGGCCTGGGCGCCAGCCAGCCCGGGTGCGGGCGCTCCGCGGGGTCCCGGGCTGGGGGG